AGAATAAAATATAACAATAATAATAATTTGAACGGTTTGATGTGATATGAGCTAACCGATCTTTAGATTAAATCACCATTGGTAGTGCGATTTATTGTAATGCTTTTTTACTCAGTTGGTCAGAACAAACGAGGCAGACTTGTTACTTGTTCAGATGGCAATATACGGTGAAAATTCTTATTTGGGTCATATTCCAAGACGTAGGCTAGAATCTGTGATTGCGAAGTACAGTAAATATCCACACTGGTGCGGTGACTGACTGCCACACATACTCTTCAGAACATTAGATTCATCCGCGCTGGAGCCGTGCCGCTGCACAACCCACGCAAGCTAGATAATTCCGCACACAGCTGCAATTCCAGGTTTTCAAACAGAGATGGCGACAAAGAGGCAAAACTTAAGGACTGCAACTTTAATTTAGCTAACAAAAGTTTTTTGAATAGTAATATTTTAACATATGTGCTTCACTGCTTTTTTCTGGTAATCATTGCATACATGAATTGTGTTTTAATGTATTTAAGTAAATTAGTAAATTTGGACCAAAAAAAACGCCATTGTGTCATTGACCCATAAGCAGTTTAGCAAACTTTTGAGTTTTTTTTGCATTTCATTGGGGTGTAATTATTGTCTCTAGTCATGCCTTGATGCATATGCACAAAAATCTTCCAAGAACTACAAAAATTAATTTCACTTGACTGTGATTTAGCATGCGCGTCCTTGAAGTGGTTTTCTGACAAGTGGCTCATGTAAATTCATGTTTTCTTTGGTAATGGCACACAAACCTGCAAACCTGGAAAATATTCTTTCCCATCTTTTCTTATGTTTCGCTTTCCTCGTTTTGCTCCCCCCTGACATTAAACTTGTGACAGCTCTGACATTCCTCGGGATCTGGAGGAAGGCGGGTGCGGTGGCCCCTTAAGGTTTAATCTCTGTCAATGGAGCGTGGAGCTGGGTGCCTTCTATCTCTCTCCCTGTGTGGGGCCAGGGGCCGAGGGCCACTCGTGAGAGGGGAGCTAAATGCGAGGCCTGCGGTGTTTCCGGTATCCGTGGTTACACAGCAGGATGGGGCATTTAGAAAAGCCCTCAAAGCCCTACACTTGCATTCCCCTGTCCGTCTCTCACACGAGCACACACACACACACACCTCTTGTCATTCACCTGACTGTGCGTTAGCTTGAGATGGAATTGACAGCAGCACAGTGTGCCTTGTTTGTTTATAAACCTGAGGTGTCTTGTTTGTGTCGACGAAGCCTATGAGTAGTGAAAGACGGTTTACGAGAACACCAGACGACGCTTTCAGATGCATGGCCACTTAACACTTCAAAGTCTCACACATTATGCGCAGGGCATCTGTGCTGCGGGCCGGCGGGCTTTTAGCGAGAGGAGAAAGGTGATACAAAGGCGAAAAACAAATCGTGCACTTTGCGGGGTGAGCATGTGTGAGCGCGGGAAGAGAGGTGAAGCATTTCTTTGGAATTCTCATTTTGTTCAGATTAAGAAAGTAGGGTTTGCCGGGCCGGGAGAGAGAGAGGGTTTCATGGGAGAGAGGGGCTGGATTATTTGGGGAGTCTGGGAGGGAAGAGGGCCTGACATTCCACAGGATGAAGTAGGGCATTGTTCCCCATCTCCAATGAAGAGAGCCTTCTGAATCCACTGATGAACTGAAAGCAGGAGAGAGTCAGCGAGTGCGAGGGGTTTCAGGGGGGTACAGGTCCGTTTTCGGGGAGGGGGGTCGGCATTATTCAGTAATCCTATTGAAAAGCCTTCTGAAGGAAGGAGCAGGAGCGGTACGGAGAGAAAGAAAAGCGAATGGAATGTGACAACAGGAAAATGCCATTGATAGCGGTCAACCTCAACCGGCTCGATGGGCGAGACATTAGCTGCCCTTCATCCTTTCTGCACTCTCAGCTCTTTCTCCTTAGACACAAAAGTTATTTTCCTGGAATGTAGTGAGTGAAAACCTTGCATCGGGTCAAATGGAATATGCATTAATCTGTTTAGATAATAACCATGCGCTTTTCTGGCCTCCCTGGCAGTTCTGGTAGGTTTTCCAGTCAGTGAGAGCAAGTTAGGCCGAGGGCTCTGTCTCCTGAGCGTCATTGTAATGAAAAGTCATGGACGTGCTGCCAGCTGACGTTCCAAAGTTAATAACAATTCATTTTATACATGTTGAAGTTGACAGTCTGTGTGCTTTTTCTAAAGTGAAGTCTTTCTGCGTGCACACTCTGTTCCATGTTACACATGTGCTCAAATTCAGATCTGTTATGTTTGTGTTCATGGCCAGTAAGTGCACATTCTTTTAAAGATAAGATGTAGAGATCTCTTTTCTTATCTTGTATCTTATTTCTTACTCGAATGCTTTAAAGATGAGGCCTCGCCAAAAATACCCATTTGCAAAAGTTTCTTAATGTACAACTAATGAGTGTTAAAACAGTATTTCTCTCAAAAATGAAAATTATCATCATTTACTCCCTGCTATGTTGTTCCAAATGGAATTTTTAATGAATCTTCATAGAGATCTTTTCTGACAGTTCATAGTGGTCTCATCTGTCACATTTCAAAAAGGGCAAAAAAGCATAATAAAAGCATTGTAAATGCAGTCTAGATGACTTTGCCTGTATTCCAGGTCTTTTGTAGACATTAACTTGTAATAAATTGACAGGTCGGACTTCATCAGTTGTTATAGGTTTATCATATGACCTCAGAAGATTAAGAATATAGTACACAAATTGTGTAGCCTACTTTTTGGTGCTTTTTACTGTAATCTTTAGCTATTAGTCTTTTTTGGACTTTGGCAGTTAAACATTTGTAATGCTAAAATTGAAATGTAGGACATTTAAAATATATGAACTACTAATCTAGTATCAAATAACAAACTACAGTTAAAATTATAATCACATACTTTACACGTGCTTTGTTAGTCAACAAAAGTGTACAAAAAATGATTAAAACTGATTAATAATGTACTTTGAAGTAAAAAAATGTATTTGACATGATCACAAAGTGCACTTTTTCTTGTTCTTAAGAGTGTTAAACTGTCATGAAAGTGTACTCTATGTACACTTAACTAGCCTTTTGTTTCATTAATATTACCTACAAGTAAATTGTTTTAAATATATTAGTGCTGTCAAAATTAGCGCGTTAACGCAGGCGATTAATTTTTTCAGTTTAAAGGGGTCATATGATGTTGCTAAAAAGAACATTATTTTGTGTATTTGGTGTAATGAAATGTGTTTATGCGGTTTAAGGTTCAAAAAACACATTATTTTCCACATACTGTACATTATTGTTTCTCCTCTATGCCCCGCCTTTCTGAAACGCGTCGATTTTTACAAAACTCATCGGTCTGAAAAGCGAGGTGTGCTCTGATTGACCAGCTATCCAGTGCGTTGTGATTGGCCGAATACCTCAAGCATGTGACGGAAATGTTACACCCCTTACCATACTGTGATGCCCTGTCAGACCGGAGCGATGATTCAAAAACATGAAAACCCATTACAAACGAGGCATTTGTTGCATCCAGTAGGGACATAATTACGGATTATAATGACTTACTGTCTTTTTACGCGTTGCGTTGCATAGCGCCGCGTAAACATAAAACCATGTCAGCATTTGTGAT